CTGCCAGGCCTAGTCTGGTCCTTACCCTTGAGTCATGCCCGATAAGCTGCTGGCACTCAGCACAGGTATTGGCAAAGGTGTTGTCATAGCAGGGCACGCAGTAGGGGCCACTGTCTGTCTGGATGTACTTGCGGCCATACAGGGACTCACTGCATTTCGCACAGTCAAATGCCTCGCTCATGGTGGTGATGTGTGTGAGCCCTGTTGGGAACACAAGGTGGAGCAGGGGTCACCTAGACAGCCCTAGCTTAGCCCTTGGCACAAACTCTTTTCATTCAAAAACAGAGACCAAGCATAGGAAATGCCACACAGAGCAGGTAGAGATGGGGAAAGGGGTGCTTCTGGGAACCTAGGAGTTTTGCATTTTTATTTCTGTATTTGACTGTGGGGGTGGGAAGAGGTCAGGAAAAAACCAGGAAGCAGAAGTTGTTTTCTTATCTAGGCCCTGGCAGATCTAGGGGGAGGGGGCTTTTCCTGGGTCAGTGACTCATTTCCTGCCCCAGACTGAGTTTAGCCTCCAGTGTGTCCCTACTGTCCCCAGGGTGGCAGGAGCAGGGGGCAGCAGTCACCTCCTGACTTCCAGAAAGGGACTCTAGTAGATAAAGGCAACTTTACTAGAGCTCTGAACTGGGGAGCTTGGTGTTGTTCTGCCCCCCTCCCCCATCCAGGAAACAATGGAATGCTAGAGGGAGGCTGGACAGATGAATGGTGGAGGCTGGCGTCCTCCTCTCCCCAGCAGAATCAGCCAAGCAGTAAGAACTTGAGAGGCTCAGTCTAGGGTGTAAGCAGGAAGGAAATCCTGCAAGCTGGACTCAGCTGAGCTTCCCCAGCTGGACACTCTGCCTTTACCCCCCTCCACCCCTGCTGTGTCTCAGGTCACACCAGCTTGGGCAGCCTTGGCTGCAAACATCTGCAACAGCTGTGGCAGCACAGAGGGCCAGATGTCAGATTTGCCAGCAAAAGGGAGAAAAAGGAAAATGAGATGGATGAGGAAGCAGAGGGGAACTGAGACATACCACCGCCGGCCCCGTGCTACTTCCTGCCAGGCACCTCTCCTGGAGTCCTCTCCTCAAGGCCCCAAGATCTGCTCCCCCTTCATGATCCTCTCCCCTCCACACAGACAGCCTTTTCCCACCTTTTGCGAGAGTCTTGAGTTTGAGTCTTAGGGTAGAGGTGGGGGAGAAGAGGGTGAGGGCAGGAGCCAGTGGAGACCTTTCTCCTCTGTCAGACCCCCTCTTGGGTGGGGAATAAGACCAGGGGAACCCTGAGAGCGGCTGCTGTAGACACCCAGCCCCCCAACCAAACCTCAGACACTTTCCATTTTCTCAGGAACAAAGCATGTTTGTGGGATGAGGTCATCCACACAGCTGCCTCTGGAACAGGAGCATGGGGAGTGGGGGGGCCGGTTGGGAAGTGGGGTTCCCAGTCCCTTCGTTCCGCAGCCAGTCTCCAGCCCAAAGTCAGAACTCGCTACCCCTGGCCTCCTCCACCAGGAGGCCTGCTCTCTAGGGGCTGGGATTACAGGTGGTAGAGAGGAACCACCAGGACCTTTGGGAAGGAGATGTTCTCACAGCTGCAGATAAACTTCTGGGGAAGTTAAGAGACTACAAAGGGACCCACCAACCCCCTTCTCTTCCCCAGGAGACACTATGGACTGGCATTTCTGGCTCAAGTTGAAGGAAAAGCCCTTTTCTCAGCCACCCCAGTGGGAAATTCTCACCCACAGCGTGGCTCTGGCTTGGAGTTCAGACTTCAGGCGCCAGTAAATGCCCCAGGCCTGAAGGCCCTGACTCCTCTGGGGCTTGTGTTTGAAACTTCCCTTCCATATAGCGAAGAACACCCAGCTCACATTGCAGGCGAGGCCTGAAGGCCACCAGAGCTGGGATCTTCACAGTGGGACTCCTGAGGTAGGAGCTATGCTGTAGGGTGGAGATTGCCACTCCTCAGTCCCTCCCTGCCACTTTGGCCTGGCATATAAGGATCACCTGGGCTGTCAGCCACTGGGCAGCAGGGGGCCACGCAGGTGGTATGTGGCCCAGCGTCCCTCAGGGAGTACCCTGGGCCCTTTCCTTCCTTCCTGGCAAGGCTGGCAGCAGCAACCACCTTTCCAGGCCCAGGCTAGCCCTGGATCCGCCCCTGGGAGTCAGTCACCTCTGAGACAGGGGAACCCCAAATAGGGTATGGGTGTGGCTTATTCCTTCCCAGAATCCCCCATTCTCTTGGTCTTTCCAGCTGGGCTCTGGTGAGGACACAGTGAAGGGCACCATCAAGACCCACCTGTCTCTGCCCATCCTGCTCCCTCCCCCTTTCCCTGGCAAGGCTGGGGGGCTGAAACAGAGTGGGAAGCCAGTCCTGTATTCCTTCCTGGCTGCCAAGGGAATAAGGTTCAGGGGAGACTGCTGGATCTGCAGGATGGCTCTCAACCCTTAATCCCACCAACACACACATCCCTCCACCTGACCTAGACACACATACCATACGCAGTTTAGAACGGCTGGATAACAGTATGGTGTACAGTGTATAGAGGCTTGAGCTATTAAATAAAAGCCTGGGATTTGAATACTGTGACCTTGGGCAAGTCACTTAAGTGCCCGGAGTCTCTTTGGCCATCTAGTTAAATGAGATAATGCTACTCCTTCCCTCCTAGGATTGTCATCAGGCTTACATGTGATGATCTTTGGAGAGCACTTGGTAGATAAGTCCCCAGCGAATGGCAGCTGTTTGCATTTTTACTATGAGCCCCTCACTTGTACTGTGGTCAGACAGAAGGCCTCATGCAGGCCTAGGTCAGGGAACTAGTCTGGGATGTGACCTGGGCATTCCCTGTGTAGGCCCACAGGGTACAGGAGGTCCCAGCCTCGTGGATCTCACTGAGGTGACCACCAAGACCAGCCATCAGAGCGACTCCAGTGAGCATAACTGTAAGACTGCTCACGCAGGTACACAGGTGTACACACTTGTCTGTTACTCTGCCGCTCCACAAGGTACATTCCCACCATCACCTCATTAGCTCCCACAAAAGACAAGCAGAACAGAATATCGCTCCTACTTTATAGCGGAGCACAAGGAGGCCAGAGACAGGGCGGGGCATGGCCAAGATTGCTCAGGTATTAGATCTCAGGTCTCCTCCGTCCCGCCTGGAGCCCTTTCCTCTTCCTTCTCTCTAGAAATGTTTGGTAATGAGTGGAGGGGGTGGTCAGCTTTTAAAGACAAGGGATATATACCAAAGCCTGGCTCTCCTGCCCAGCTGCCAGCCCTGTGATTGGAAGATAACCAGAAGCCTTTCCAATTAGCCATGCCAACTGCTCAACCCTTTTGTCCCCCCTCCTCACTGTCTAGGAGGACCCTGGCCAGGCCCCACAGTTGTGAGTCAGAATCAGAATAGATTCCTCCCCCAACTCCCAGGAGTTGACAGGAGACTTAGGGGAAAAACTAAAGTCCTCCCACCCCCACCCCTGTACCCAGGCACCAACCCCAAACTGCTCTCCCCCTTCCTCCCCTACAGGGCCTGGAAGTCAAAGCAGTTTAGGGGAAAGGGGGTGGGAATAGGATCCGGCAGCTGCTCTGGGGACAGGAGAGGAACAGTTCATTCACCCTGGGTCCCCCAGGGCTGAAGCAGCTCTTCCAAGATTAGAGTTTAAAAATAAGCTGAGGCTGTCTTCGTGGCTGTGTGCATGCATGAGGCTACTTCTTGATCTTGGTCTTACTAACTTAGGTCCTCTGCCTCATGGGGGATTGGTTAGCTGAGTCTCTTTTCCCCACAGCCTTGTCTCCCACTCTTATAGGCCTGGATCTCTCAGGGTCTGTCTTGGAACTGTCAGTGCACCCAGGTCTCTCCACCTCCGGTAACTTTCAGTCTCTGTGCCTAGCTTGGCTCCACTCAACATCTTTGTGTCAGGCACACTTAGGCTGGTCTCTTTATGTTTGATACAGATACATAACTCTGTATCTCTGACCAGCTCTCTCCCAGTGGGGCCTCCACTACCTGGATCTCTGTCTCCTGTACACCCAAGTCTTGCTTAGCTTTTCAGCGTCTCTAATGGGCTGAGAGTCTTAGTCACCACCACCTCCATTTCTCAGTCTCTGCACCCAAATCTTTGTCTCTTAGCATCTCTGCATGCCTGAGTGTCTCTTTCTCCAGTCTCTGTAGATCTGAGCGGCGGATTTAGCAGGAAAGTAGCAAAACTTCAGTCTCCAAGGCCCTAGCAGGGGCCCTAGCTATGTGTTCACAGGGGCCATATGCATACTTTTTCTTAAAATGCTGCACAAAATCCGGGTCTGCCCCATGCCTCAGGTCCAGTCTCTGCCCTTGTTTCAATGGTCTCTAGCCTCCTGTCCCGGTCTCAGTCGTCTCTCGCCCCAGCAGGCTTTCGGGGAGCCTCAGTTTCTCTAACCCTCCCCCTCCCCGGTCTCTCCATGGCTTTTCTACTTCAAACTTGGCCCCCTCCCCCGCCCCACTCTCGCAGTGGTCCCCGGCCGGAACCGTGCAGTCCCAGCGGGTGCTCTGCAGGGCTCGGAGCGTCCATGGTGCCCGCGGTCGCACCTGGCAGGGGCAGGGGCAGGGGCAGTGGGCCAGTAGTCCTCAGCCCGCGCGGGCGGAGTGCGGGGGCCGGCAGCTGGGGCTGGAAGCCGGGTCGGTGGGGCGCTCACCTCGAAGCGGGCGCACGCGGCGCAGATGGGGCCGGGGGCCAGCGTCCCTCAGCAGCTCCTACCTGCTGGCCGGGCCGAACGCGGCCGAGCGAGCGCGGCGAGGTTGCCGGCTGCGACCGACTGTGTGGGCGAGTGGGCGCGCGGCCCCAGGCCTCCCGAGGAAGTGCGCGCGGGCCCGCCCCGCCGGAGCCCGCCCCCGGCCCCCAGCCCGCCGCTGGGCCAGACCCCGCCCCCGCCGCGCAGCCAGCCCCGGCCGCCCCAGCCCCGGCGGCTCGGCCCAACCTGGCTCTCTAGCCTGCCCCGCAGCCCGGACCCCGCCCCACCGCGCCCCGCCCCTCCCTGCAGCCTCCGCTGCCCTCCGGCTCTGCGCCGCGACCCCTGCGGCTGCGGGAGGCTGCGGTATTCCACCCCAGGCAAGGGGTGCAAACCGGGATGCATTTGGGGACTAGGAGCCCTTACGCCTCCTTGTGTTCGCCCCTCACTTGCCCCCAAGTTCACCCCCAGGAATTAACTACACCCCAGTTTATGGAGGTAACCTTAATACAGCCTGGGGGCGGGGGTGGGGGGGAGTGGTTTTGACTCTGTTATTAAGGCCCTGTCAGTGGTAGCAAGGTATTTTCTGGAAAGGGGATGAAGAGAGGGTCCCCCTTCCTGCCCACTCAACAAGGCCTGACCTTCCCAGAGCTTTATTCCATAACTCGGAGTGGCAAAAACCTTGGTAACAAAACTTGGTAACCACCCACCCTCACACAAACCTCCTCCTGCATCCTGGCACTGAGGAGTCCTGCTTGTATCCACAGTGCCCAGGAATAGTTTTGACCTTTGAGGCCCAGGGAGACCCTAATCCTTGGCTCCATGATCTTTGGGCTTCTCAGGGAGGGGTGTGAGGGTATAGGGTACTGCAGGGTGGTGGAGAAGATGGGAGGAAACCTTTGTAGTTCTGACTCTCAGGCTTCCTCCCTGTGCCCAGCAGAGAGGAGAGGACTGGCATTTGCCAGGGACATGGGGCCCCTCCAGGTTCTTGAGGCCACCTCCCCTGGGATCCTCAGGCTTGTCACTAGGAATAAATAGCCTCAGGCTGGCAGGGAAGGGGGGGGTGGGGAGGAGGCTCTGCTGTGCTGTTTGCAAAACAAGAGACAACAAACTAACCCTGGAAATAACCTCAGCATCTCAGTGGAGATTCAGGTGCCCAAAGTCTCTCCCACACCCCAGGCAGCTCCTGCCAACATCTCACTGATGAACTAACACCCTCCCAGGCTGGGACTCTGGACCACCCTTCCCTGTGCATCATGTGCCATTTTCTGGGTCTAAAATCATCCTCCACTCCAGGTTTCCTTTCAAAAAAAATAATTGTTTATTATTGTTTCTGCCTAAACTAGGCATATTGGGTCCTTTTTGTTTAACACTGCATTCCCAGTACCTACTTCAATGCCTGGTACATAATAAATATGAACCAACGAATGAATGACAGGACTTCAATATGGACCCCCACCTCCCCAGTTGGGACCATCAAGCAGTAGTGAACATCAGCCCATGGGTGGGCCCTTTCTCTGGGATTTGTCTTGCAGGTGTACAGGAACCGGAGAAACCAGGGAAAACTAACCTTCCTGGTTGGAGTAGGTAGCAAGAAGGGGTCTGCTCCAGGGTGAAGTGAGGGCAAAGTGAGAAGTCTTCAGAAAGGGAGGGGGTATGAGTGAGCAATAAGGTGTTGAATAAAAGACAGAGTCTTGAGATCTCTTTTCTTTTTCTTTTTTAATAGCTCAATTAAAAAACAAAAAACAAAGAAATAATGCCTTTATTTTTATGTGGTACTAAGGATCAAACCTGGGTCCCGCCCATGCTAGACCAGCGCTCTACTGCTAAGCCACAACCCCAGCCCCAAGATCTCTTTTCTTATAACTCGAATCTCTGCTGAACAGTCTAAATGAGAGACAGTAGTTCTTGAGCTCTTATTTTGCACCAGTCTCTAGAACTTTATATATATACACACACACACACACACACACACACACACAATTACCCAACAACTTTATTAAATATATATATTTTTATCCTTGTTTTAAAAATGAGAAAATGGAGGCTGAGAGAGATTAGCTTGTCAAAGCTGACACAACTAATAATAACAAAGTCAGGCTTAAAACCAGATAGTCAAATGTCAAAGCCCCTTATGCCAAAAAAGAGCTTAATCATTAGGTTGTAGAGCATCTGCAGTCATTTGACCTTTGTAAACGGGTCTCCTCTAGTCTCAGCATTGTTGTTGAGGACTGGATGTGAGCACACAGTAGGTATCCAGTATGTGTCCCCCCCATCCCATTTAATTGTCAAGTGTTAAGGTTCTGCTGCTTAGTCTTGGAGTTTGGAGGCCAGAGAAAATTAGGAGACCTCTGCTTTAGGCCAATCTGGGGAAGGGAGACTGTTCTAGGGCAGGGTGGACTGTGTTCTTTCCTATCTCCATTTTCAGCTCCCCAGTGGGTTCACATTTCCCTGCTCACTTTATTTCCATTGGCCCTGGAAGATGTGCCACAGGGAGTTCAGGGATCAGCCGCATGGACTCCCTGTTCCTGTTCCCCATCTGTCTTCTCCCCCTCCCTGGGAAACAGGTGTGTCTGAGCCTGGGCTGGAAGCAGACCCTGAGTGCTGGATGAAGGGCCTTGGGTAAGTAGGTTCTGGTTGTCCCTTTCCCACCCAGGAAGTCCCCACACACCTTTCTCTATCTTATGCTCAAGGTCCTGCAGCTGTTCTCTTACCTTGGAAAAGTTTTCAAAAGGAGGCCCTGGGTGATTACTGACAGGCCTCTAGTGGTTTCCTCTGATGCTGAATCACTCTCTGGTGCCTGTAACCACAAGCCCTCCTTCTCCTAAGTTAGAAGACATTCTTCCTTCTCTGGGTGTGTTGCTCACTCTTACCACTGCAATGCCTAGAGCTCTTGCAGGCCTCAGGGCTTAGCAGACACCTTCTTTCAAATCATCCAGAAACTTCCTTGTGATCTCAAGTCTGGCAATAGGTTTATGGGTGAAGAGGGTGGAACAAGTGACTCTCACAGAGCATAGGGTGGGGGCAGAGAGAGAACTAACATGGGTAAATGCTGACTGTTTGCAGGATACCATGCTTAGACTGGCCATTCCTATGTTTAGTCACAAAAACCACACGAAGTAGTCATTGTTTTTTATTTATTTATGTTTATTTATTTATTTATTTTTATTAGCTACACATGACATTACAATGATCTTGGCAATTCATACATTTGAATCAATTGGGGTATAATTTCTCATACGAAGTAGTCATTGTTGATCATCATTTTACAGAGAAAGACAAGACTCAGAGATTTTGACAATGGGGTTCCAAATCACAAGTCAATAGATAGTAGATAGATAATCAATCCAATGCTGCTCCAGAGTCCTCCACCTCCAGAGCTGGCTTCCGCTGGCTCTGCTGATACAAAATATTCTTGGGAGAAGTGGCTGGGGCAGCCACCTGTTCACTCTGATTGATGGCTGGTCTTTTTAATTAAGATGAGACTGGAAAGGTAGGCCATATCAGGAAGGAGCTTGTCTGCCAATGCAAGTGAAAATTGAGATGGAATTTTTTTAAATTCATGTGACCCTAGTTGGGCAAGGCTGAAATGCAGAGGTAGGAAAAAAACTTTCTGCACAGCAGATCTCAGCTACTTTTACTTTTTTTTTTTTTTTTAAACAGAGTTATTGAAGTTGAAGGCGAAAATAGAACTCCATGAGGTGGCAGGCATTGGTCTGAGCAAGAGAGAGAGTTCAAGCCTGCTTTTACTCTTTCATGCCTACTGGTTGGCTGGACTGGCCCCTCCAGGGACTCTCTGGAGATTTCTCTGGAGCTCTTCAGCTGGAGAGGTTACCCACTGTCATAAGAAATGAAGGTATCATGTATGTATAATATGTCAAAATACCCTCTACTGTCATGTATATCTAAAAAATAAAACAAAATAAAAAAGAAAAAATAGTTCAAAGTATTACAGGAATTAAGAAGTAATGAAAATTAAAAAAATGAATGCAATTACAGAACCTGCTGAAGTTCAGCTTCACATAGTGGAAAAGAAATCAAACATCTCTGGAATGTTTTGCTGTGTTCAACTCTCTCTTTAGACCTAAAAGAAGTTTAGTAATAATAAATATAACTGGGCTGGGGATGTGGCTCAGCGGTAGCACGCTCGCCTGGCATGTGTGCGGCCCAGGTTCCATCCTCAGCACAACGATGTTGTGTCCGCCGAGAAATGGAAAATAAATATTAAAAAATTCTCTCTCTCTCTCTCTCTCTCTCAAAAAAAAAATATATAACTGATAGCTCCATTTTATTGTGAACCTAATCAGTTAAAACATATTTAATTCTCCCAACAATCCTGGGGGTACATATAGCATTATTATTATTACTTCTGCAGACAGGGAGAATGAGGCTCAACAAAGCAAACTTAGCCTTTGCTGGTTGGGATCAGAACATGCCTCCATAGTTCATGGTCCTATTAAATTGTATCGCCTTTGGCACTCTGCTTCCGCCATTTCCATGAGGGACTCAGAACTTTATAACTACTGCTATTAGGTGATTTCATTCTGTGTTGCTTACAGATGATTCCTCAATTCAACTATGAGACCTTTACATCCGTGAGAGGGTGGAAGTGCATGCTATTATTAGCCTCGTTTTATGGGTGAGAAAAACAATGCTCATTAAAGTCAAAGAGCCTGCCCAAAGTCACACAGCCAGTGACTTGGCGCATATAACTTTTAAAAAGTCTCTTGTCGGACCTGAACAGACACTTCTCAGAGGAGGACATACAATCAATCAACAAGTACATGAAAAAATGCTCACCATCTCTAGCAGTCAGAGAAATGCAAATCAAAACCACCCTAAGATACCATCTCACTCCAGTAAGATTGGCAGCCA